CTTTGATTAAAAATTGATTCCTAAATATCTGTTAAAAAAAATTTATTTTCATTTATATTCATTTTAATTATAATATGAATATGGAAATAAATTTTTTTTAAGTACTCATGAATTATTTTATATAAAAGATCGATTTTTCTCCTAGTGGAAGTTAATGCATCGCGTGTACAAAAAGATTAAGATAAACAGCAGTATTTTCCTGCAATATTATTGATATACTATGATCAATAATCAACAAACATTGAAAATTATTTAGTATTGTAGCGTGTTACGATTCAATTGATGTCAATTTGTCACTTTTAAATATGTGATGAGAAAATATTTAAAATAATTAATTTTTAAAAAATAACAATATATTTATTGTCAAAATATAGTGATAAAATATAGTGATAAAATATAATAAAATAACATAAATAAAACAATTTTTTATAAATAATAGAACATTTTTGTATAAATGGCACTCGTAGAACATTTTTATATAGTACATTATGATAGCTTCTGGGAAGAGAGGGCTCCAGTTGCTTACAAAACGAAATCTACAGCTTAATTGTTTGCACATAATGATATTACACACAGCATATTGCACATACCATATTGCATCTAAAAAATCTTTAAAAAAAAAATAAGCGCTAAAAATTAATGGATTCCATGCCGCTCGATACCATAACATAGAGTCCAGAAGTGAAAATTCTATCCCTCGCAAGAGCCATCTTGCCTACTCATATTTCAAAGTTACGTTATAAAATTATCTGAGACCAATTCTTTGTAGTAGATTTTTTTTTTAGGCGGGCGGAGGATTTGTAATCCTCTCGAACGAGACTTCTTATATAATCTTAATCGAACTTCACTTACACGTAATTTATTTGATTTTTATTTGATTTTCAATTGTTTTCGAAGTCTCGATTTCGAGATTACAACAATGTAGTTATTTAGATTAATTTTTGTCCTGTATGGAATACTTTATGTACAATATAATTGTGTACAAAAGAAACTGTAGGCAATAGTTTTATAGACATTTGAGATCTTTTTTGAGGATATCTTCATTTACCCATTCTGAAATGTCATTCTGCGCTGCCTACGTAGGCAAACTGATCGAATAAATAATTAACTTACTACATGTTGTATGCTTCCCGGAAATACATTTTGAAAGCACGGGATACTCACTCGGGAATGTCGTCGCTTTCACGCACGTAATTGAAGGTGCAACAGTATCCGTCCTGCGTTTTGCGAAATTCAAAAAGCTCTGAACAATTTCTGTCGATTCCATGCAATATACATTTTAATAACATCGTCGAACATTGTGGTGTCAGCTGGAAAATGTAAATACACAATATGTATTGTAATCTCCGACAATATTTTATATGCGATAACAATGATGGATGACATGCGAAGTACCGTGTAAATAATATTTTGATTGCTCTTTGAAGGAAATCTTTTATTTAAAGTGCAGAAAAATAAACGTTGTAATATAAATCGTTTTTATTTATTAGAATCATTAGGAGATTGAAAGTTAGGGAGATAAATTTAGACAGAGAATACTTACAAAAAAGATCGATATAAATGGGATCATTTTTCGAAGAAATTTGCATTTAAAATTAAAGCACAAGCTTGAATTTAATTTCTATTATTATATTATATATATATTATATATATATACTAAACAATAAAAATTAAGCAATTTGTATTATCAGTTACTTAATTATTACACAATTAAAAGAAGTTTACACGTATATGTATATCACAAATTTGAAATAAGATATTGATTAAGTTTGCATACGTACAGTTTTCATTATCTGAGTGACATCATAAGATCCGTTATAATAAGTTGTTAATAGTTTATCTAATTCCACATCATTGCTATTATCTATGACCATCATAGAAACATAAAGATTACCCAGCTGCATTATCAAATTGAGAATTTCATCGACTGATCGATCTGTGATTTTTGCGTTAGAACTAGTTTAAAAAGAAATATCATAAATATCAATTAAAGTCATCATATATAATACATATTTTTCAAGAATATCTTTAATATATAGTAACAAGGACAAAAAATGCATGACTTTCTTTGACTACGTAATTTACTACGTATCTACATTATTCAATAGCATAACATGTTTCATATTTAAATGTGCGTTTGCTAATAAATCATATAACAGGGACGCGAATTAATCATATAACAGGATTCCGAAGGATGTCGGTCTTTAATAATATCTCGTCGGTATATACACGAATGCATGATGTGTTTAATATACGTGAACGCAATTTGCATTTATTTAGTATATAAATACTTACATATTGGTCGCCAATTTTTTCGCGGATTGCAAACTAATTCTGTTAATGGAGCAGATAGCAATTCCTGAAAAATATCGAGGTACACATTTTTTATAAATGCGACAAAATAAAAAAAAAGAAAAGGGAAAATAGAAAATGATATACGGTGTAACCATATGTTGAAATATATGGATATATGTATCTTTTAAACCATGTACTTCGATACGTGTACTCGTGTATTTTAATATCCGTGTACCTGTATTAAAAATTACACGGATTGAAACATGAATATATGTATAATTAATTACACGTGTACACTTATACACGTGTATTTCAAAACAACGATCTCTAATTCGTATAATTTATTCGTTATCACTTAACTTTTAAACTACGTATCAATTAAACAGGAACAGTTATTGATTTGTTACCTTTCCGTTTTCATCATGAAAAGGTAGAAAGACTTTTATTTAATGTACTGAAGGTGGTTCGAAGCAGAGCCGAAAAACATATATGAATATTTTTAATTTGGAGTACAGATATTTTATAATAAAGACATTTATTTCGCACTGATTATCACGCAAAAAACTCTTATTATGTACTACCTAATTTGTACTTTTATTATTAACAAATTATGTTTTTACATAATTTTTGCGTTTTTAAAGCAGAAATTTATGTTTTTAAATGAAGATTTAATATATAAAACGCATTATACTAAAATTATACTAAAATTGCGTACAATTCATAAATTTCATATAAATAATTCGTAAAAATTGTTTGTTAACAACTTTTAAATGAATAACAGAAAGATCAAGATCACTCGGAGATTATTTGGGATTGTGTTAAAGAGAAAGATTTATCAAAACAAAAACACATGTTATGAAAAAAGAAGATGTTTATATGTATATATTAAAAATAAAAAAGATAAAAAAAACAATATTAAGAATCTTTATGTTAGATCACATATGTGAGAGCAATCAATACTAAAAATTAAATGCCTATAATGATCGAAGCTGGACTTTTAATGCTTAAATAATTTAATCTTAAATTACTATATATACTATATATATATTTGCATGTATATATTAATTAAAAATTTACTTTTTGTCTACAATTGTCAATGATTTATTTGATTCTTTTAATACATTTAATTTATTTATTTATTCTATTAATTCTCTATATTTTTTGTATCTTGAAACACTATTTCTTATTTAATTTTAATATCTATAACAAAAAAAGCTTCTTTACTTGAATATATATGTATAAATACATCAATTTGAATATTTTCGTAATTATTACGAGTGATTCAATTCAGGAAAATGTTTATCTTTTAGAAGATAAATAATCCTAATTAAATAAACTATTTATTAGTATATTATATTATTAAAAATCAATCTATTATTTAAAATAAATCTTCATAAATAAATTGCATGCACACGTACAAGTTAAGGAAATATCTTAATCTTGATATACCTGGAAAGAATATCTTAGTCGTTTCAATATCATTTGCCTCCATGGAAGTTACTAAAGGTTTTAACTCAAATTGTTGATAGGAAGCATAAACCATACTCACCAAAACAGATATAATTATGCAATGTATAATAACCCACATAATTCTGAAAGATATATTTAATTACACAAGTGCAAAAATGAAATTATTAAAGTGATTAGGTATAACTCTAAATAAATCTACTCTTGCTTTACTCTTATCTCTATTGTTATGTCTTTGAACTTTTAAAAATATAAATAAAATAAGCAAGTAAAATAAATCAATACCTTATTGATTTATTTTTACTTTTTTATATTTACTTGCTTATTTTATTTATATTTTTAAGTTCAAAGACACAACAATAGAGGTAAGAGTAAAGCAAGAGTAGATTCAGTAGATTTACGTGTTGTAAGCCAAGCAACATTGAACAATTGATTCTCACTCATATATCACAACATGTTCATTACTCAATTCGCACCGCGCTATTAATATGACGTTGTCATGCGCAAAGTTACATTAAATTAACTAACAATGCCATATTATGATAATTCTGGCATTTTCTGGAATTACATTTTTTTCGTTTTCTTTTTTTTCTCCTTTTTGAAAAATATGTGTTTGTTTTTCTTTTCTTCTTTGTCTTTCTTCTTTTTGCAAAGCGTACGGAATAGGATAGTGATTTGCGGATATTTTAATTCGTATAAACCATTAATCTTAAAATTTCTCTGTTCATAAAATTTCTGTAGTTAATTTCGCAAGAAAAATATCTCATTAAACTGTATAACTTTAATCACATACAT